ATTGCTTCTGCCTCCCTGGTGCCCCTCTCCTACCTGTTTTGTAGTAGCCGGGCAGGACGATGCTGACTTTGACCCCCCAGGGCTGGAGCTCGCTGCGGAAGGTGTCCATGAGCAGGCTGAGGGCAGCCTTCGAGGCCCCATAGGCTGCCAGGCAGGGGAAGGGCAGGTCACCTGGCAGGAACCAAAGGATGAGTGAGCTCTGTGCCCAGGGGACAGACCAGGAGGGCTTCCATAGGGCTGCACTCCCACCCAGCGCACAAGGGAAGGGATGAGGGTGCCAAGGGGAGTGGAAGATGCCTGGGGTGAGGGGGGTGGAGCCACACCATAGAATCAGAACCATTCAGGTTGGAGAAGCCCCTTGGGATCACCCAGTCCAACCATCATCCCTGCTCTGCAAAGTTCTCCCCTAAACCACCTCCACCAACACCACATCCAGACCACCCTTCAACACACCCAGGGATGGTGACTCCACCACCTGCCAGGGCAGCCTGTTCCAGGGTCTGACCACTCTTGCTGGGAAAAAATCCTTCCTAATGTCCACTCTAAACCTCCCCTGTTGCAGCTTGAAGCCCTTCCCTCTCGTTCTGTGGCTAATGACAGTGAGAAGAGACCAGCACCAACATCTACAATGACCTTTCGGGTGGTTGCAGAGACTGCTGAGGCCTCCCCTCAGCCTCCTCTTCCTCAAACTAAACATTCCCAGCTCCTTCAAGGGTTCTTCACAGGATTTCTTCTCCCTCCATGGCCGATGCCACGAGAAGGCTGCACCCCAAGCTGAGGGTGCCCACAGGGGGGGTTGTTCAGGCAGGCAGCTCACCTGCAGGGCTGCTGACGGTGACGATGCGGCCGCCGGCGGAGCGGAGCAGGGGCAGCAGCCCCTTGGTGAGCTCCAGGGAACCGAAGAAGTTCACCTCCATGCAGGCGCGGAACTTGCCCAGCGGCGACAGCTCCGCGTCCGCGATGGTGTCGTTGAACCCGGCGTTGTTCACCAGGCCCCAGAGCCCTGCAGGGATGGCACGTTTGGAGGGGTGACCTGAATGGTGGAGGATCTCCCCTGCCCCTCCAGCATTCCCAGGTGCTCATGGGGGTCCTGCAGGGAATTGCGGGGTGTCCCGAGACGAGCCCCGTTAGCGGAGGGACCCAGCAGGGTGCTGGGCTTGGTGCTGCTGGGAGCAGCTCCACCCTACCTGGGATTGCCAAAGGGCTGCCCAGGGTGCTGCTCACCTGTGCTGTTGGTGTGGGTCTGGATGTGCTGCAGGACGTTCTGGATGTCCTCTGGCTTGGTCAGGTCCATCTGCAGCAGCGTCAGCCTCGGGGAGCAGCTCCTGCGCAGCTCCCGGGCGCCGGGGCCCTGCGGGTCCAAGACGCTGGCGAACACCCGGAAGCCCATGGTGTCCAGGTGCCGTGCCGTGGCCTGCCCGAAGCCCGAGTCACAGCCTGCAATGCCCAAAGGGAGCCCTGCAGTGGCCCAC